TGCACGTGTGCAATCGAGTGTGTGTGAGCGTGTGTAACTGTGTGCACGTGTGCAAGCGAGCGTGTGTGAGCGTGTGTAACTGTGCAAGTGTGAGCGTGTGTAGCTGTGTGCATGTGAGCGTGTGTAGCTGTTTGCACGTCTGCAATCGAGTGTGTGCGAGCGTGTGTAACCGTGTGCATGTGTGCAAGCGTGAGAGTATGTGTGCATGAGGAGGCCCCGTCCCGCCGGGCTCACCGAGGTCCGCGTGTCAGCGAAGCCGTGCCTCTGGCTCAGGCTCCACAGGTTGATGGCCAGCTGGTTGAGGCGGTTGTTCCGCAGGTCCGCGTGAGCCACCAGGCTGCTGAAGAGGGAGAAGGCCAGCGAGCTCTGCCTGCGCAGGGTCTGAAACACACACACGCGCGGGGAGCCGTGACACGCACATGCCTAGCACAGGCCGTAAACAAAAATCTCAAGCAGCTACAATTTCCTCAAGGCCTAAAAACAGGACACAGTTCTGGGAAAGGGGACATAAAGGACTCATTTTCCACATATCCCCAGGAGAGGAGGAATAGCCCTCACTGCTTTCTCTACTTCCCAGGAGTAGAAGGAAGAGGAACGTCACTCTGCAGAGCCAAGAGCATCTTCTGGGGAGGTATTCTTATTCTGACTCTGGGGGAGGGGACAAACACCCCCTGTTTGCTGGTATTCTTCAGTGGCTAGGCCTTTGAACATCACGGGACGACCAGATCATTCTCCATTAAAAGGTGACAATTACTTGTAGGCCCTGAACACGCCAATTTCTTTGTCCTTGAATATTAATATTTAAAAACACAACTTTGATTTCATTAGCACACATGGAAATATTTGTGCATGTTCAAGATGTTGAATAAGAGTGCTGGGCTGATGGGTGTGGAAAGGTCTGTGATAAAGCATCGTTAAGAGACCATAAGAACATAAGAAAGGCTGAAAATGAGAATATCTGGGGTTTAGTTAATTGATTTAGAGGTTCTCATCCAGCCATGAGTCCAGGGCTTCAACAGCATGGCTGGGTAGCTTGACCTCTTTGCATAAAGACGTTGCATAGAGAAACCCCTGTTCTGTTTTAAAAGCAGCCAATCAATCCAGATGGGTGGCCTGGGATTTCTCCCAGCGGATGTGTGTGTTTGGCACCAGGCTCACCTCCTCTCTGCCCAGGGTCTTCAGGTGGTCCAGGACCTGGCCGATCAGAGTCTCGCACAGCTTGTTGATCTCGGCCACAAACTTGGGGTCCCCCCCATACAGCGTCTCGTTGGAGTCCACTGCCCGGGGGAGGGGAGTAAAGAGCCACACAGTTAAAGAGGCGTACAATTTCCCAAACACCACACACAGGGGTAAGAGCTCATCGTCTCAAACGAGAGGTATGACATCACCTTTAACTCAATCTCCCTGGCGTCATCACTGGCTGCCAGCGGCCAGACTTGAGTCAAATTAAGAGTCACACAGCCCCTGTCTGACCTTCGTCTCGTTTCCCTTTACGTCTGCATGGAGTTCGAATGAAAATATACTAGCTGCGTTTTTCAGAGACAGAGTTCCGGGTATTAAAAGCAAAAAAAGGGGGACGTGCGAAATCTGGACATCTCAGGGGTGGAGGGGCAACCCCCAAACCATCAAGCCTCGTAGTGAGGAGGTCACACTGCGTCTGAACCCCAAGACCAGCTCAAACCCGAGGCCCCTCCCCTGATACAGATGGAAGACGGAGCGCATAGCTGAAGATCTTGCCCCCCGCGCTGGGGCTACTGTAAGAAGCGTCACAAAGCCCCAATACCTTTGGGAACGCAGTAGAGGTAGTTCTCCTGGCTGAGCGCGGCCAGCAGGTGTAAGGCGCTGATGTACAATCTGACCTTGGCGTCGCTGTTGTCCTCCCAGGTGTAGTCCTGGATGATGTTGAGCAGGCCGCGCACCAGGTACAGCACGCCCTGCTCCGGGTGGTCCTGCCCACACAGACGAGAGGGGGGGGCACGCTCAATTTCTAATGGCAGGAACAGGCCACCGCAGAGCTCGGATCGCATGAGGAGCCTTGAGCGATACTCCACCTTAAAACGGCCGTGAACCTTCTCTCGCATAAACTTACTGGCGCAGAAACTCAGAGGAGCCAAGACGGGCAACTGTTCTTTGGGAAA